TATGAATTTGAACGGATGGTGTGTACACTTAGGCCTATGTGTTGGCCTTTGTTTAGACTATGGACCAAAGAACGTAGGCCTAGTTTTAATCACAGTGAAGTACATACACACACTCACACAACATATTTATCAATAGTAGCACTCCATTCCACCAAATAAAGTCAAACCGACCGTTACCAATATTTAACACCGACGACAACATAACATAACCTCAAGACTGGTGTTTGTTGACAGACGACAGACGAAAACTATACCGGCTCTACAAGTGAATTTCGTACAGCTGTTGACTAGTTTAGTTTATAGTTTGCCGCTTGAGCGCATAGGCCTCGGCCGAGAAAATCGTGATTTGGCCCAAAGAATTGATTATTTGTTGTTCGACCACCGAATAGCTCGCTAGAAGCCTCTGACGCGAATACGATCCACGAAGTAACACGATCCCATCCGTTCAGGTTAGCTTCATTGTGTTCAGACTTTTTCTCCTACGCTTATTTTATTTTCGTTTAGAACATACGTACACTCCTTTGCCACTCATTCTCGCTTACTTAAATTAGATTTTAAAAATTTAAATTTAATAGCTTAGAATTCATCGACTTGAGAGTAGACTCCCCAGTTCCTGCCGGTCAGTGACTAGCGGTGGATATAGTACTGTATTTTCAACTACAAAATTACTACTAACCCGTTCGTTTAACAAAAAATTAACATACATATTAACAAAAATTAACGACAAGTTAACAAAAATTATTACGTATACTTGTCGTTTTAATTAATTCACCGTTTTTATATGTGTTTTGTGTTGTGGACATCTTACGCACCTCTTCAGGGAAGTTTAGTGTAAACAGTTCTTATATGGATCCGACGATGGCGCTCGCGCCGAAATGTACATAATCCACTAGAACAATACTTGGACCACAAGGCGACAAACAGGTATTTTAACCTTTTATTTATTTGTTAATACCCCCGCCGCAGCAAACCTGCCGACTAAGCGAATTTCCATTTGTCTGAATTTATTTTCAGTTAAATATATTTTAATAACATAAGGTTTAACGAGTACCTAGGTTTGCTGCTACAAGGAAACTAATAAAGTGTTTTTTTGAGTAAAATATTGATAGCTTAGTACAAAATAAATAAATTTGCCAAGTTTGATCAAAATATATCCATAAACAAGCAAACTACAACATTTGACAATATTCTCCATGAGAATAACATGGGAATTTTTAATTTACAATTTTTTAAATTTTCTCCGTTACTAATAATCGAACAAAAATACTTTTATATACTAAATTATTTGTTTTTTTAAGCTCTTTAAAAAGGTCTAAAGATAAATTAGGAAATTTTGTGTTTTGAGGGTCAAAAGTGAGAAAAACCAATTTTTACCCCATAAAACCCCCCGTAAAGCCCCGTTCCCATGGTCCGATCGTGCTGGTTCGCAAACTCATTCAAGTTTATCCCGCTTTACACCTTTAAACCAAATTTCATCAAAATCGGACAAAAATTATTCAAGTTATCGTGTTCACGGACGTATATATATATATATATATATATATATATATATACATTATAAAAATTTGAACGAATGGTGTTTTTGGCCTCTGGGGACATCAAAATGAAAAAGGAAATCGGTCCCGAGTCTAGGTCTTACCGTACCACCTACGGTAATAGCTACTTCCCTATAGGGAAATTCGCTAAAACAAGAACAGCTTATTGAAAAAAGATAAGATACGGTATTTACAAAAGATTTTGATTATATCTAACTGTTGTGTAGATCGTGAGTATTTCCATAATCTTTGAGTCGCCTGTAATGCTTCGCAATTGCTCGAATTCGAGCAACAGGTACACTAGTCAAAAGAAATTCTAAAGTCTCCATTTGGAGGCCTATACAAAGATAAAATACAAGTGCCATTGACCATTACTGCAGTTAATTCAATATTTTGCTCTGAACAGCTTTCACTTAAATCAACTTCTTTAAAATGAATGGACGATCTTATAAATATGCCAGCACCCCCGTTTTTGAAAATTTACTACAAAATATTCCTGCATTTACAAACCCATATGGAGTGAACAAAGAAATTTGTGATTCGATTAACCAGTGCTCACTGACACAAACAACATCAATTCGCAATCTAGACATAGGACAAGAAGGATTTGTATCGATCTTTTTTATTTGGCGTTTTCGGGTTTCTTGGTTTGGTTGTTAAAGGTGGAGATGGTAAAAGGCCTAATTGAGTTTGCAGTTTTATGTGCCGTTTTTGAAGGTTTTTTTTGTGAAAGTCAGTAACAAATTCTCTTTTGATTAGGTAATCGATGATAACCTAAATAATAAATTAAAGCCCTTCGTTCCCACCACCACCTCTGGCTTAAGTATGGGACTTATTTGCGAGGCCAATTCCCTGTAAAAAATCTTTATTCTTAAGCTTTGGCCACTTTCAATCCTTGTCCAGACACACTTGTGTCCAAAACCCTAACAGCATGGCTCCCTTCCCCCTACCGCCCAGAGTGATGGGAACATTGGGATTCAATCTAACCCTTCCTCTCCCCTTCATGAGAAAGTTTTCACTCCTTTTCATTCTTTGTTTTTGTTTTTTTTTTTCAGTTTAAATTCCTGTATGTATCCCTGGTTCTTCCTATTTCCCTAGCTACTTTCCTAACATCTCAATTGTTTCCTTGTCTCTTGTCAAGTTTTGTTTTCTCATCTCTAGACCTTCCTTATCCAAGTCTTCTTTCTGTTCTCCCCTATTTGCCTCCTGAAGTGGACAATTAAACTATACTCTATTTTTCCACAGCTGCATACTTCCTCTTCCACTAAGTGAAATCCACAGAGCATAGAATAAATATAAAGTCGCCACTCCTATACCTACAGCTATAAGAGTAGTGAAGCCGATTTCCGCCATCTTGGTAAGAATGGTAAGAGAGTCGGGCTTGGAACTTTGAAAAAACGGCGTCATTACCACTGTGTTATTCTATGCTACTTTATGAATTAGATGAAGCTACCGCTCCGAGGATACATATAGAACTATCCCCCCTTCAATATTGACCTAGGACTCTGCCAGTTTGACAATCTATTGACCAATGAAATCTTCTATTTTTCTGTAGAAGCTGTCGAAGAGGTGTTGTTTTTGTAGATAGGTCTGGGATGAACCGAGCCTAGTAAGTAACCATTCCAAGAAATTTCCGGACCTCATCAATATTCCTTGGTTGAGGCATATTACAAACAGCTCTAATCTTTTCTGGACTTTTTGAAATTTGATTGTACTTAACCACATGACCAAGATAGTCAATCTGTTCGCAAAAGAATTTGCATTTGTCTTTGTTTAGATGCAAGTCGTTTGCATGTAGACGGAATAGACACAACCGTAAATTATTGTAGCATTCATCTTTTGTTGTACCGTGCACGATTATGTCGTCAAAATAAACTTCAGTCTTTGGTAACCTGTTTAGAATTTGGCTTAGAATGCGATTGAATTCGGCAGGCGCGGTCTTGATTCCGAAACTAAGTCTGTGCATCAAGTATGTACCACGGTGTGTAGTAATAGTTTGAATTTTGCTGCTTGGGGCATCAACTGGAATGTGCAAATAAGCCTTGTAAATATCAAGCTTGCAAAAATATTTAGAGTCTCGCAAACAGTGTAAAACATCTGGAATGTGTTTGATCGGGAAATTAGATGAAACAAGACGATCATTTACGCCTGTTTTGTAATCGACGCATAACCTCACTGTGTAATGTAATGTGTAGTGTAATGTGTAATGTGTGTAATGAAGTGCCGCGAGATAGGATATATGTATGCGTAGAATACTCCCATTCGTTACAGCATGGTTTAGTCAAGGAATTAAAGAAAAATGGTATAGAGTTAACTTTTAGGACAAACAATAAGACTTTAAACAAACTTAATATTACAAGAAAGGCTATAGATAAGGGTGACAGGTCAGGGGTATACAAAATTAAATGTGCTAGTTGTCCTAGTGTTTATGTAGGAAAAACATTCAAAACATATAAAGACATATAAAGAGACATATAAACATATAAAGAGCATCATCTGAACCCGAAAAATGACAAACAAAAATCAACTTTTGCTCAACACCTGATAGATGAAAATCACGACTTAAATAACCTTGACACTGGCTTGGAAATCCTTTACACCTGTACAAAAGGCAGCAAATTAGATACCCTGGAAGAATTTGAGATCTACAAAGCCCACATAAAAAATGACAATAGTGAACTAATTTTAAACGATAAATTACAATTCAAATCACACTTCATCTTCAATAGTATTTTAAATCAGTGGAGAGAACCAAGACCAAAGGGGCAAAGTACAGCTGATAACACTGCAACCGACACGACAATGCAAGGATGACTCCAGTCAGCTACTTGCTCGAGTGCGGGAATGTACTATCCTCAAAACCTTTTTTAAAACCCCGTTTTGACAAATATGTGTGTGTTTCGTGTAAATATGTTTTTGTGTTTTAACGACGCCTTTTGGCTGAACAGTCCAAGGATGGCACAGTGATGCTGAAACGGCCGTAACAAGTTGATAACAAATCAGGAGCTGGCTGACAAAGGTAAAATTTCAATTTATAAATAGAACCAACCTTTTTTGTACAAGACAGTTTAGTGGGAAGCTTGAAGATGAACTGGTTGGAACACTTAATTTTGTTTGTATTATAAAAGGATGATTGACACTTTCTCTTTGAACCAGTGAAAGGGTAGATTTTAATCAGGCTGTAAAGTTACTCTTAAGACGTTTGTTGTGGAATAGGTAAATCAAAAGCTTAATAATATGATGTTTCTTATACAAATCAAATATTGACGGGAATGATTATTCACTGGTACACTCAACACTATACAATAGTACTGTATAACTAAGATTAAAAAGATAGAGTAGCCTATATAAGTCAAGGGAGACAAATGTTGGAATATTAATAGTAAATTTATCACTAAGCGCAATGCAAGAAATATAAAGCAATTGAACATTACGAGATGGTAAAAATTGAATCAAAGCACTTACTAGAGTTTGCATTTTCTGCATACCAAGAATTTGAGCTCAAGTTGAGAGTGAAAGGTTGTGCCGAGACACTGAGGCTCCTAAAGGAGTTCATCAAAACAAGAGCAAGGGTGGCTATCAACATGATGATACTGCAACAAGGACACAACTGACATTGGACAAAACAACACAAACTACTGTCAACAAATGGCAAGGAAACTAAGCTATATTCTGAGGTTATCACTAAGCCCACACTCAGGATATACTCATATGAATATCATCAATGAGTATACTTTTATCGAATACTTGCATAAATTAAAAATACTTACCGATACCTTTACACTTATGGACTACATTTCTCTTAAAATTATAACAATTTAAAAATCACAGTAATTTAACACAGAGTGTGCTAAGCAACGCAATGCAAACTCACAATCTTTGGTTTCATCGCTGCTAGTATCTATTATTCTAATTCCGTAAGGAATTTCTTGTGCACAGCAAAACTCTTTTATTTATGAACCGATTTTGATGATTAAGGTGTCAAATTAAAGGGAATTTTCTGTAGAAGTCATGGAATAATTTTTGTCACGCTCAGTTCAATGTGCTTTGCTCCATTGGACTTTAAAGTTGTCATGTATTTTAAATATACAAGTCCAAATTTGTTAAGATTACCTAACATATGATTCATTTCTTAAAAGAAAACATCTGTCTTCATAAAAATAGCCCGTTTCCCTTCTGTCATTTTAATATTTACTTTTTCTGTTTACCTATCAGTTTACTTTCAAATACAATGATAACTTATGAGATGGGATAGTTTATTTATGCAGTTTCATTCATAGGGAGTAAAAACCAGTCTATTTCATTATGTGATTGTATTTTATTTTCAGATAATGGAGTGTTTAACGTTTTCATAGATATTTGTATGTGTTGTGTTTTCCAATTTTTAATTTTGATTATCATAAAATTCTACCTAGAAGAAACAATCCCGTGTTTGCGATTTGGCAACGTATTAACAACAGAGATGGTATGATAATAAATTGTGAAAAGTTACCTATGCCTATGCTGGTTTTTGAAGTTCAAAGAAATGTTATGCGACCGCTTGGTTTTTTTTAAATATTGCACAGACAGATGCTGTCACAAAACAAACTATTTTGACTTAGAAGATCTTAGCGTACAGTACAAAACAGATTTAAATTGCCAATAAAATTAAATGAGTCAGTCTCAGTCTCCGGAATAAAATCCAATAGTAACGAGGCTAAATATTTGTAAAATAATATTATAGGATGAAGCTTCTATCTTCTATACTATTATATAAAAATCTAATGGTGTCTGTCTGTATGTGTGTTACTAATAGGTGCAACATTTACTAAACCAACTGGGCTTAAATTTTACAAAAATATAGCTACCATACCAAGGACCATTATAGTACTATTCACATTTCGATACTGACCATAGGCTTTGCCCCTTTGGCTTTAAAAGCTCTGAGGTGAACATTTTAAAAGTAAATATTGATAGGTCTCCATGGCTGCGATGAGAACGATGAGAACACTAACAACGTTTGTTTACATTTGCTTTGACATTTAAATGTAAACAATAAGAACTGCTAAACTGCATATATCACAATTTCAGATAGCTGATACAAAGAAATTAAATATAATATTTTCCATAACTATGAGGTAGGTTTATTTTAATCTAACCTTTTATCACGGATTATTTATTCTAAAACTATGTCAATGATAATATAGAAAAAAACTGATTCTAAAACCGTTGCTGTATCAACTCCGGCTCTGCTTTGGATTTTTTAAAGTGTCTTAAGTTATGAAAATAATGTTATTGATATGTTTTCATGGAAACAGTATGAAAATTACAATGTATAGATGTTTTGTATGAATTTGGAGGCTACTTTAAATAAATCCTAACTACTTGTTAGATTAACTTAACATAACTTGCACATCACATTGTTTTTTATATGTTTATTTAGGTAAATGTTATTGTGTTTTGCTAAACCTATGCTTTAATTTAACTAAAGAATATCATCAATAACTAAATTGTACGTCGTTGATTTTTGTTTTCTAAAATCTGTTGTATATGTGTAACTATATTTAATTATCAAATGGTAGGTAATACAAAATACTCTTATTTTATCTTAACATAGCTTTCAGTTCACATTTACTTTATTTGATACTTTTATTATTTGTGTTTTGCCACACCACTGATTAAATTAAACCAAGGAAAATACCATAAAACTAAGCAGTACACAGTGTTCTTTTGTTTCTAAAATTAATTAAATATCTGTGTAACTACATCATATACTTCCACGGATCTCAGTAATCCTATCCATGTCTTCCCGTCCGTCTATACATTTCCTGTCCCACGGTGGTGTAACGTTCAGCTGCCGATGCATCAATCGTGGAGAGAGACAGAAGACAATCTGCAAGCTGTGTACTTTTTAATTTAAAATGCCAATAATAAATTAAAAGATATGTTATTAAGGGAGATGAAGGTAAATCATGTATGTCAAAGTTTTGGTCAGTTCTTCTCATATCAGCCTACACAAGATTTAAAATTAATCAAAACCAAAATGGTGGTATCCACTACTTACCAGATTTAAAAGTCATAACTTAAAACGTTTCTATTAAGGCTATAAAAGTTGAATTTTGTTTCTAAAAGCGTTGTCGGGTGTGTAACTATTATATGCAACAGATGTAAAGATTAAAATGTTTCTATTTTGTGTCCTCTTCCCGTTGCAAAGCACGGGTAGAACAGCTAGTGTCCAATAAGTATGCTTTATCTTCTGCAGAATGATTACTGCGAGATATCGCCAGAAGAGAAGGCCAAGCAAAACCTTTTGGTGGAAAGGTTTTGGAGGTAATTTCCGGCAATGAGCTATCATAGTCTCTGGTGCGAGTCGCTGTGAAATGGTAGAATATTCAATAATTATATCACCTTTATGGTCAATGTTTAAAAATGTTTCACTTGCTAAAAACATGAGAGCAAATCCAAGGGAATCAATATTTGCTGAATATATCTTTTACGAATAAGGAATGGCCAAGAGAGCTACCCTAGTCCAACCTTGGGTTAGTCGGCGGTGCGGAGAGGTGAACTTCTACCTCACCCAATTTCTGACGGGTAACGGCTTTTTCCGGTCGTACTTGTTCAGGATGGGCAAAGCCGTGTCACCCGATTGCATATACTGCCCAGGCATTCCCGATGACGTGGAACACACTTTCTTCCACTGCCAGCATTGGGAAAGGCCCCACCTGGAGGCTCAACAGTTCGTAGGACTGCTGTCGGTGGACACGGTCATACCGATGATGATGGAGGGTGAGGACAATTGGACCTGTGTGTCACTTTACATCCAGGGTGTTCTCTGCGCCAAGAAGCTCGACCTTGACCGGGATGCGGTGTACGTCATAAAAAAAAAAAATAATAATGCCAGAAATGGTGCGAGCCCTGTGGGCTTAGGTCAGATGATGGCCTGACTTGACAAACAAATCTAGGTCTGTGTCCAACAGAGCAGAGGGGTTTTTTTAGTGAGTAGTCTGATAAATTCAGGAGTCTCACACTACAGGCTGGCTACCTGTGTGCGTAAAAGCATTTTCCCTCCTCACCCTTAATAAAAAAAAGAGAACTACCCTAATGGTCTTTGTGAGACATTGATAAGTCTTCCACCACAATGTATTGCGAATAAAGATATCATTGACAAAATCTTCAGTGAAAGATTCAGTTGCTATAATAATATAATATGACTAGCTGACCCGGCGAACTTCGTATCGCCTAAGTTATAGGTTTCCCCTAAGACAGAGCGATGGAAAGAAAGTACCGTTGCGTTTAATTTTCAAGATGATCTCGTTCGCATCGCTCAATCACGTCCTGGTTGAAGTTCGTTCGCTACGCTCACTCACCTTTGGGTTGGAGCTTGTTCGCTACGCTCACTCACCTTTAGGTTGGAGCTCGTTCGCTGCGCTCACTTGCCTTCAGGTTAGCTCGTTCGCTGCGCTCACTTGCCTTCTAGGTTCGCTCGTTCGCTACGCTCACTCGCCTCCAGGTTGAAGTTCGTCGCTACGCTCACTCACCTTTTGGTTGCAAATTAGCTGTTGTCATAAATGTAAAAGAAATAATGGTGCTGCACCCTGTTGGTAATCCTTGTAACTTTAATGCTATTGAACATCATAGAACAGAACCAACTTGTTTAATTGAAACAGCTGTTAAGATTCATTAATTCCATTTCTCATAAGGTTAACATGGGAAACTCCAGAGCCACTGGGGCGGAGCCCTTTTAAGAATTTCGATTCGGGAAATAGTTTACGTCCGATTCGCATACCTACAGAATTTACACACCAAATTTCATAAGGATCGGTGAAGTCGTTCTGGAGGAGTTTGCAGACAAACACTGTGACACGAAAATTTTATATATTAGATAATATTATTATAGCATAATATAATATAATGCTATAATATATGCATAAAATAATGCTATATATATATATATGATTCAGTTGCTAGTTTAAATAATTATAAAATTGACATACTTTATGGGTTTGATGCACTGGACACTTCACTAAATAATTTTTAATATGCCTTTAAAGGCAACAGGCCATGTAGTCCAGGAGCTGAGGGGGTTTGAGCATGCATGAAAGTAGTACGCAATGTTATTGCTGATTATTGTAATATGGACTGTGGTGATCAAAATTACGTATGTCGCCTATTTCAAAAGTGGTCGATAAGGTGGGGGGGAGGGGGCAAACATGGCGGTTTGCGCTATGCGTTAAAACGCTGATAGTTCGAAAACGGTAAAAGATAGAACATCGGTTAAAACGTCGTTGGAATTCTAAACATGTGGACAACAATAATGGTTATTGGGTCCGAGGTCGTATCTCTATAAATAAACAAGTTATTGTATAAAATATGTAAAAATGGACTTTTCGTGTAGTTTTTTAACCGAAAGTAGAATTAATTTGTGAGTGTCGCAAAGAAGTAATATCAAATATCTTTGCTGATAGTTGTAATATGGACTGTGGTGATAAAAAATACGCATGTCGCCTACTTTTCAGGTGGTCGAGAACTTGGGGGGAGGGGGGCAAAGATGGCGGAACGCGCTATGCATCGAGACGACTGTAGTTCGAGAACGGTACGAGATAGGACATCGGTT